TGTAATAGTTTAATTCCATGTTTAGCATTTAATTGTCATAATTATTGTCATGCATTAAGTATCACTTACATAATAAAACATTAATTAAAAAAATTCAAAATCATTGTTTTTTTATTTGTTTCAAAAGTCTACCAAAATGTTAGAGATTTTCGAAAAAGTTCATAAAAATCATGGTAAACCCTAAAACCAAATCCTAATTCAAACTTTAAACCCTAAAACTAAACCCTAATCCAAACCCTAGAACCTTACCCAAACCTTAAACTCTGAAACTTAACCCTAAACCCCAAAGTTAATCCTTAAACCAAAAACTAACTCTAAACCCTACAACCAAAACCCTAAATCCTAACCAAACCCTCAACCAACCTCAAACCCTAAAACAAACCCTAAATCTTAAAACCACCTCGAAATCCTAAACCCTAAAATAAATCCAAAACCTAAAACTAAAACCCTAAATCCTAACCTAAACCTTAAAACCTCCAATCCTAAAATTAACACTAAACTCTAAAACCAAAACCCTAAACACTAAAACCAAAACCTAAACCTTCAAGCCTCAAACTCTAAAACAAACTTTAAACCCTAAACCCTAATCCAAACTGTAAACCCTAAAACCTCGAATCCTAAAACAAATCATAAACCCTAAACCTAACCCTACCAATCCAAAACTACAAACCAAACCCTAGATCCTAAATCTAATCTAAACCTTAAATCCAACCCATAACCCCAAATTATCTAGACCTTGAAACTACTCAAACCCCAAAAAACTTTAACCTATGTCAACAACTAAAGTCATTCCAAAATTCTAAGGATTCGTATAAAAAATTTATATGAAGTAATTTGTTATCGAATACCACTTAGAGGATAGGGTATTTAAAAAAATTTTATTTCATTAAATTCATTTCATATGATTCATTAACCCTAAAGATAATAATACGATTAATAAAAGAGAAAAGAATAAAGACGAGATCTTAAATATAAATAGTTATACTTAAACTCTACATAAAGGTTAGGGAGTTTGGGTGGTTTTTTTTTTTTTTATATTTAAAGATCCGATTTCAAAATCACCTATCATCATTATGTATAACATCTTTTGTATATATATATTTAGATTGTTGGTTACATTCATCCACAGGTTTATGTCTCTTAACTTTTTACTATTTTTTTGTTAATTCTAGCAACATTGGTTTTTTTTGCATAAAATGTTTTTTTTTTGTGGAAATTGTTGTTCAAAAAATGGATTTTGAAATGAAACAAAAATAATATTTTAAGAAAAATAATTCTTGATACTCTACCTAGAAGTTGGAGAATCACTAACAATTATCATCTGCAAAAAATGTTATTTTTATTTTTAAGGAATGTCATAATGAATCTTAGGTAGAAATAGTTGTCTTTAAATTCTAATTAAATGTTGGAGAATTTTAAGGTAACTCTTTAACCTAAATATTTCCATAATGTTCCTAAAAAGGTTTTTTTTTTTCTATAAAATAAAATTGAATTTAAAAAACAAGTGAAAGAAATTATTATTAAACATCAAATTGAAACATTTTTTATCCAATACCAAAGATAACCCATGATTAATTGGTACTTTTTTTTAAATGGATATTATAGGGATACTAATATTTTTCTCATGCATAATTGTATTTCCAAACCCAGCTCTATTTTTAAAGACCAAAAATATCTTTTTGATAAATTTTAAATTCATTTTTTTATTTTATTAAAAAAATAAATTTTTTAGATGATCAATCATACTTAATAAAAAATTAGTGGCAACTCTCTGGTTTTTTTTTATTTTATTTCCAAAATTTTGATGTCCTGCAATCAAATTCATGGATCTTCACATTGTGACATTATTTATCTTTTATTAATCTGATGGATAGATTTTTAGTTCTGTTTTTACACGTTATGCATGTCCAACTTTAAATTAATTAAAAATACATTACTATATTATTTTTTAAAAATATAAAAGTTTCGACTATTAAATTTACATTAAAGATTAGATTGTTCTCTATTGATATGATATAAATATCACACTGACTTGAAATTTTTGGTATGAAATGACCACAACTTGAAAAAAAATAAAAGATTATAAATATTAAATTGAACCTTAAACTTATTACATATTATCTTTAAAAATAATTATATAAAATAATTAAATTAAATTATGAATTCAATAAACTTGAAATTTTATATACACGATAAATACGAAGATATTATTAAATCCAAGAGATTCTTTTTAAAATATTATTCCTAAAAAATGTTACAAAAAGATATAAAACTTAATAATTTTGCATTAGTATAACTTAATCCTTCCCTTTAATGTACATGATATGTAGGGTTGGTAATGGCTCGGGTCAAGATGAGTTTTTGGCTCATCTTGAAATTTGACGTGGCGACTGGTTATATTATAAAATTTAAAACTCGACTTGATTCGAAATTTATTTTTTATTTTTTTCATACACCAAACTCAATCCGACTTAATATTTTTATAAATCGTCCCGATTGCGATCCAAAATTAAATAAAATAATTATTTTTGAATATAAAATATTATTTTTTAAAATATAAATATATATAAATAAATAATTAAAAAATAATTTTTATATAATATCGAAATAAATAGTGGTAAGATTTGCTTAAAATCTGAACTCAACTCAATCTTGATTTTTTTTTAATATTATCTAACTTGATCCGACCCAAAATTTAATTTTTTTTAAAAAAAAACTGATCTTATAAAATCAATTTGGGTTAGAGTCCGTCAAATACGTGTTTTTTTTCTTGTAAGAAACACTGTTTCTTTAATAAATTAGAAATAGGTAATTCAAATGTTTGCCTGCCGCGTTTTTTTTGAAGAGCGAATTGAATATCGATTGCAAAGCGATTAAATCATCGTTTTAATAAAGAAACGATTGAGTTCTGCTTTTGGTGGAATTAATTGGTACCATGCTGTCAATAAAGCATCCGTAACCTACAATGTCACTTCCCCATTTTTTTTTACAAGGAGAATTAAAAGGAGAAAATATGACAGTCATCAAAAACTCAAAAGTGATTTGGAATTTGAAGTCATCTCCAAAAAATCCAAATGATGTCGTAGCCAAGAGTCCCAAGATTGATCTTTGTTCGAAAATCTCATAAAAACTCGAATTTCACCTTAAAAAATTTTTAAAACTTATGAACCTAACCTGCAGATTGATTAAATTTGAAATGAACCAACTTAAAATGATCAAAGTCCAAAATAGTTTTATACTCATATTGATTGAAATAATTTAAGCTCAAGACAATCCAAATCTAAAATAAGCACAAACTGAAAAACAAATCGATCGGAATCCGCTCAATCGCCACCTCTACTTATAAGCTAGACATGAAAGAAGGATTGTCTTTTCTTACATTAGACGCAAGCAATTGAGGCTTTCGACCTAAACTTTCTTTCTAATGTAACTTTGAATCTCTTAACAAAGTAATCCATAACATGAAAGGTCTTGGTGTGTTAGGCCAAATAGCAACTAGGTATGTAGCAACGTTCCTAGGGAGACAAACACATGATCAGGTCATTTTCATCAATGAGATACAAAATATAATATAAGACATCTCTCGCAAAAGATAATAAATTAAACACTAGCTTTTGATAGGATAATCATTTAAGAAACAAGGCATATCAAGCTAATGAAATATGTTGGAAGGATGATATTGCACCAATTACCCGATCCGATCTTGTCCATAAACACTTCTATACAAGATAACATAACATAACATTAAATATTAAACCTCAAAGTCAATAATAATATAGATTTTTGATAAAGTATTGTATTTTTAGTTTCATTAATCAAGATTTAAATTTTAATTAAAATAAATAACAAAAAAAATGAACCTGAAAACTAAGAA